CTTAATACAATATCTTCTCTCTAAGTTTTTAAGAAATCAATTTAAGAGTTGGCCTTAGTTGGACTATTTTGTTCCAGTGACACTGATCTATACACAATAACTGAAATTTTCCAGTTCTCTTATTTGAATAGTATGGGATTATGGCTTTGTAAAAGAAGGAATCTTTTCCTTTCATAAATGTGGGAATAAAGAGCTTCCTTCCTAGCCACTGTGAAAGAAGCCATTTTCTAAAAACCTCACAAATAATAAAATTCACAGAGTATGTCTAACCATAAATAAACAATAACAACAAAAAATACTTGTAAGATCAGTCAAATTTGCTTTTGTATAAATCCATATGGCATGAAATACTTATAATATTCCATATCATGTTAATTATAATGTTCTAGCTCATGAGACTGAAGAATCTTGGACTAGCTGAGAACATATAGGGATTCCTGCATTTCACAGCTATCAAGAGCCCTGCCATCATGCAATCAGGATCTGGGTTAAGTCTAGACACAAACCCTTTAGTGTGGCTCAGTACTTTCCAGGCTTGTTCTAGTTCTGACCTAAAGCCCTGGAACCATCTCTTATACCTCTCACTAAGTTCCAGTTGCCCAATAACAATTAACTCCTCTCAGCCCAGTCAAAGAACTTAAAAAGTTGACTGGGTTCCTTTCACACTTTCCAAGCTCTACTCATTTACCTATGTTTTCCAGGTTGGTGGCTCCCATCTCAAAGGGAAGTGGCCCTTTCTCAGAATCTCGATTTACAATATCTTAATGCTGAAGACTTAAAAGCAATAACTTTTGGTCATCTTCATCATGCGAGATAGCAGAAATAAGGGCAGAAAGCATCCAAAAAAAGAGAGAAAAAAAGAAATTCTACTTGTTTAATGATTTGCCTATGTGTACATCTGATTTGGCTAGCTAAGTTAGTGTGTTCACTGGCTATGAATAGCATTCAGTATTTTAATGTGAACTACACAAGTCATTAGTAAAATACAACAGTGGAATATGACTGGGAGAGCTATTTCTAGATTTTATTCTCTTTCAGTCCAAGTACCTCAATTGTAAAATTCAGACACAAGTGGCTTGCTTTTTTTTTGTAAGCATTAAGTTTTGAGAAGTTCATATGAATGGCTAGATGAAACATTTATTTTAACTGGTTTTTCTTTTCATTTTCATCAACTAAACATAATTTCATAATATATATCAAAACCACAACCAGAAGCACAAAGACAATATTATTACTTGCAGATTTCGAAGTAGGGAAAGGCCTTTGAGTGTCATCTAGTTCAATGGTATCAAACTCAAATAGTATCGGTTAGTACTAGAGCATACAGAAGGATCTCATGGGACACATGTGAGCTTGGTTTTCAAATGTACTGTTATCTATGTCTTATTATATTTTTACTTATTTTGTTAAATATTTTCCATCTGCATTTAAGTCTGATTCTGGCCACACTCAGGAGTGATGAGCTCCACAAAGCCCACCATCTGTGTGCTTGACAACTCTAATTTAGTTTAATACCTTCATTTTCTAGATTAGGAAACTGAGGCTCAGATAACGTAAGTGGCCGGCTTGAGTTTACACAGGGAGTAATGAGCACATCCAATCCTAGAACTCAGGTTCTCTGGCTCCCTGCACCACTGCCCTTTCAACACTTCAACAGATCAATCACTTTGTTGGCATGACAATAGACTGATGGCAATCCCTCCATGCCTTGGTATAGTTTCATGGGTTGCTATGCCTGGGAAAATATCATGACTTGGTGGCCAACCCTGTAGTGATGAGGCTCTTCACACTCAGCTAGAGTGGTCCCAAGACAGTTGGCACTGTTTGACATCAGGACTGGACTTGAAGTATTTCCAGCTTGACAGAAGCTGGCACAGCCTGTTCTCTGCTGGCACTGACTTCAAGAAAGTGTTCTTGAAGTCACCTGGGTCACCTCCAATGCTATGATGAGGCACTGAAGCAAGATTTCCAGATAAGCAACTGAGTCTTCTCAAGAAATAAATGATGGAAAAAAAACCATTTAACCAATCAAGACAATAAATGCCAATAAATCAAACATGATGAGAGCTAATTCAGTGCTGAAAACTGTGAGGGATAAAAAATATTGTATAATATAAATTGGGGGGAAAGAGAAGCTATTTTATTTTTTGAGCAATGGAATAGTGCTTTAAAATTATTTCATTATCTTATACAGGGCAAAAATTGGAACTTGTAGAAACTATAAGCAAGGAGAAAAACCAAATATAAGATAATTGCAATAATCTGGACAGGAGATAAGACAGCTTGGGTCAGGGTGGTGATAGTAGCAATGAGTGTAAGAGGATGAATATGACAAATCTTGAAAACAGAAAAATCCACAGGACTTGGTGCAAAATTTCCCATGGTAGATAAAGACCTATGGAATAGGTAATTATGCTAAGACCATCTCTAGCTTCCCTTCTATCTCCACAATGCTCAGTTTCTAAGGAAATGGCAATCATCATCCTCTTTCATGAATCACCTCTCTTTCTTACTTGTGCCACCCCTACCTCTTTTCATCCTCTAGCTATTCTACCCTGAATATCTGTGACTGACATTAGAAATGATAGAATTGCTTAAATTCACAGCTATTATTTACTTATAGTGATTGTTCTTTCTTCTAGGAACTAGAGACAAAGGGAAAAGACTTGCAAACTGGAATATAAAAAGATGGATATGGTTTAGCAGAAGGGTAGAAAAGAGATGTCTGTGTAGATGAGTGACTTCCTCCAAATTGTGGCCCAGGGGCTATAACTGTTCTAGTCAAGATTTCTTGCCTATGACTTGGTCTATCTCTTCACACTCTGCCACATAATTCTGGTGTAGGGGCTTGGGTCAATAACAATGAATGGGTAAATGGGTAAAACGGGTAAATGGGTGAAATGGAATGGGGAAAAAGAACAGTCAAACCATCATAACCTGGGGATGGCAGTAGGGGTGAAGGATACTACTAAAAATGCAATTTAAAAATGTTCTGAAAACACTGCAGCATCTAGGAAGCAATAGGAAATCTGATGTAAAAATACATAAATACACTTGTGGCTCTACTAATTAAATATTATGAAAATAGCCCTTGAGAAAGTCCTATGTCAGTGACTTTTGTTACACGCCTTTATCACAGAAACTTGTCAGCCTTTCTCTTACTATGAATAAGCCTCCTATCTCACTTTAATTGACTTGTCAACCTTCTGAAAATGAAGAAAATACAGAGTGTGAATCTGTGGGATATAGCTTAAGTTAGTTACAGCTTTTAACCCAGACTCTATGTATATAGTTTTACCTTATCTTTAAACACCTCATTCACCCAAATAAACCAACTAAAATTCAAGTGTTACATCCTCAATAGACCTATCTCTGGCCCTAGTAAACTTTAAATGTGATGACCCCCAGACAATTCTAATACTAGTTACTATGATCCTTTTGAGGCTATGTTCCACTCCATAGGAGCCAAGATATTTTCTTTTAACCCCACTCCACCCACCCACAATTACATTTTTTAGAAGCAAAACCAGAAGAGGGAGAGGAAAAAAACAAACAAACATATCTAGAGTAGCTAAATTCAGTCCAATTCAAAAAGGCAGTGAAAACTAGTTTATGAGAATCCCATGACCTGCAAAGAAAATCTGTGATGTTAACTAAGGTTCAGTCACAAATTTTGGACAGAGGAAAAGCATAGTAATTTCCATACAGAATCATGACTGCCTTTTGTCCAATAGAATGTAATCTCCTGAGGGCAGATACTGTTTAGGATTTTTAAATTTAATTTAATTTTTTATTTTTTTACTTTTATAAGGTCATCAGGTAGGAGAGAATTTACCCTAATAGAGAGACGACTGACTTTGGAGTCAGGAAGATCAGAATTCAAGTCCCTCCTCTGAAACATACTAGTTGTGGAACCTTGGACAAGCCACTTAACTTCTCAGCTGTCTCGGACAAATGGCAAAGAAAGTACTGACCTGCATTGATAGCAGTTTCCTGCAGGTGGAGATCCCTATATCAATGAAATCACAGGTCCAGTTCCTATCCTGAGTGTCTGACACATAGTAGGCCCTCAGTAGTGTTTGCTGAATGTTCTTCATGCAAGATTTATTTACTTAATAAAGCCACATTCCATTCTTCACGATAGTATTTTTGAAGGCATTAAATGAATTGGAAACTAGCCCGAATGTTAAATAAATAGCAAACCTACAGCAAGGCAGTTATTCTTGTCTTTGGTTTCATTCCAAGGAGTCAGAAGAAGCAACTTACTCTCACATGACTGCATAGAAACAATAGCTGGCAAACTCAGCCAAAAAAAAAAGTCTTTAATTTTAGTATTCCAAAGAGAAGTATCTCTATAGTGTTTTGAATGAGGTTTCATAGGAAGGGAAACCCCTTTCATATTTGATGGGAAAATCCCACAACAGTGTGCTTACTGTGGAAAGAGCACCAGATTCAGGAAAAGGGAAATTCATCTCCTGAGTCCCCAGCTCTGCTAACTATCTAGCTATGTGACCTTGGGCAAGTCATTTCAATTTCTCAGAACCTTAGTTTTCTTCTTTGTTTTAATGACAGTCCCCTCCAGTTCTATGCTCTATTTTCACTTGAAATAGAAAACCAACATATAGTTTCCGGTCACTAAGTATAGTTGGGAAAAGAGCCTAGGACTAAATTTTTTTTAATTAAAAAAAATCATATATCCAGGAATAAAATATTAACAAAGTCCGATGGTAAAGAATACCAGACGGGGTTGGAGTCGCGGTGGGGAGGGTAAGCTAATTGGAGAAGAAATAAAGGAAAGAGCTGAACGGAGACAGGCAGAAACAATGAGACGAAAAAGGGAAAGACTGAGGATGATAGGGTGGCAGAGGTCACTGCTGTGACAGATACTGGAGCGAACAGAAGAAAGCAAAGGAAAAAGATGGGAAAAGAGGAATAGAGACTGAGCGCTAAGCAGAGGAAGTTGGGGGAGGCGCACAGGGAGAGAGAAGGGGGATCCTTACCTCTAGGGAGAGTTTCTGCTTGAGCACCAGGGCGGCGCACAAGTAGCCCGCGCGGCCCACGAACAGCTCGTCGGAGCCGCACTCTAGGAAGGAGACCGGGGCGCAGATGGCACAGAGCTCCCGGAACTTGCCCAGTGGCTGCACATAGTCAGGCAGGCCCAGGGCGTGGTAAACTAAAGCTGCCACCGCGTAGACACCGGCGCCCCCGAGCAAGAAGGCAGCGCGAGTATCCGCGTCCGGCTCCCCCCACTCCTCCGCGCGGGTGCAGGCGTCGATGAGCCGCTTGGCCAAACGGAGATACCTCTCCCGAGACGAGGCGAAAAGAGAGCACTGGGAGACGTGGTACAACATATAGGCCACCCCAGCCACGCCGCTGTACAGACCCCCTTGGCAGCAGCTCTCCCGGGCCGCCGCCCCCTTAGACTCCCCTGTGCTCCCAAGCTGAGGCAGCTCCTTCAGAATGCGGTCGATGGTGGCCGTGACCAAGGGCGCTACAGCCTCCTTGCACTGGCCAGCTAGCAAGCTGCCCTGATAGTCATCGAAGCGGTTGGCGAAGCAGCGTTTGCTCTCCATGTCCCACCTCCCCTTGATCTCTCTCTCTCTCTCTCTCTCTCTCTCTCTCTCTCTCTCTCTCTCTCTCTCTCTCTCTCTCTCTCTCTCTCTCTCTCTCTCTCCTCTCTCTTCTGGCTCTTCACCTCTTCCAACCCTACACCACTCCCAAAAATAAACCCGGAGTGGGCTGGGGCGTGGAGTGGGCAAATTCGGGGAGATGGTGGAGAAGATACACTTCGCAGAGCACCCACACCCCTGCTCTCCCGAGCAACTAGATGGATGCAGCAGGGGAAGAAGGGAAGGAGCGAGAGAGGTGAGAAGAGGAGGGGGATCACAGAATGGCAAGCAGAGGCTGGCAAAGTGGGTCACGGAGTGGTGACCGATAGGGCTGCCGCTGATGCTCTGGTAGGGCTGCCGCTGACGCTCTGGAGGTTGTAGCAGGAGAGCAGAGCCCGCGGTGACCCGGGAGAATGCTTTCCTTCCCCGATGCCAGTGCAGTTTGCTAGAGGCTGCCTGCTTTCCTCTAGGGACAGGCGCTGCTGCTGCTGCTGCTGCTGCTGCTGCTGCTGCTCAACGGCGCTGCTGCGCTGCTTAACGCTACTGCTGCCGCCACTGTGCAGCCACTCACTCTCACCACCTTTTCTCTCCTTAGGCAGAGTCCAGCTGAACAAAGGGGGAAGAGGTTATCTGGCTTAACCTATTGCTAAACTGCAGCCACACACGCTCCGCCTCTGGCTCCTCCCCTTTCACTTGTCCCAGTCTGAAAGTGGAGGGATGCTACCTGGAGAGGCTAGGGGGGCGGGTGGCATCCCCAGGGTGCAATTTCTTAATATTGAAATGTTGAATCTAGGCGTGTACTCTTTGCTCAATAAAAAAGCTGGTTGCTTTTTTTTTTTTGGTACTTTATTTTTTGGTACTTTTAAGATACTTCTGGACACTTTGGGATTCTCTCTCCATTTTCTTAATCCCAGAAGTTCTATAAGTTTAGGAACTCCCGTTTTGTGGAAAATAATGTATCTTCTTCCAAGAGAAGGTAATGTCACAGATTTGGTGAAATTCAAAGTACTGTTCATTTCACTTTTGAGTACATAGACTTTTGAGACTTTACCAATGTAACAAAAGAAAACAAAACAAAAAGTCCAACATATCAATAATTTAACAGCAACACATCTTGGAATCAGAGAACAAGAGAACATAGCATTGCTATATTTTATTATTATTATTATCAATAACACCCAACATCCTTGAGCTCTTTACACTGCCTCTACTCCTTCCTAGGTGCTTCTTTTGCTTTTAGTTTGAGAAATCTAAGACCAAAAGAAAAAAAGTGAGATTATAAGGATTTAAGATTTTCATAGGAAATTGCTAATGGTAGAATTTCAGATAACTTGGAAAGGGAGAAGAAATTATTTTGGGCAGGGGAAAACAATAACTCTATTTACAGGATCATAACAGGGGTGTGCTGGTAAATGCTTAACAACTGTCTCTCAAAAAAATGTGGGTGGGGCATACTTTTAAATTTAATCTGCATTATTAACCATATTCTCAATCACTTTTCTAGGCAATCAACAAAATGAATCAAGTCTTAATTTATATTTGCTGATTTCTGAGGTGCATGTGTAAATGTTCATAATTAAAATTTAACAATCCACTTTCCCCAGTTTGAGCTAGCTCCAGCATACACTTAGGTCATAAAATCATAGGATTTAGAGCTGGAGGAGACATAAGAGGTAATCTAGTTTAATTAGTTTCCTTTAAATCAAGAGGAACTGAGACCCAGGAAGATTCAATGACTTATCCAACTCATGCAGGAAATAAATAGCAGAGCCATGATTTGAATTCAGGTCTTTTGACTCCAAATCCTGTCCCACAGCATACACTCTACATCCAGTCTTGATTAACAGCATAACCTTTCTGGAAATTGTCAGTGGGTTGTCCTTGTTGGTTTTTTTTTTAAACAAATGAAGAAGTGGAGATTTAATAGTGTAACTTTGGTCTTTGCTTCATACAATCTGGAAGTAGAACTCCATTTATGGTAATTTCTAGAGACATAGCTTCCTTCCACCTGGCATGGATCAGGGTGCACTTACTCTCACAATGTCCTTCCATGGTAGATTTTTCCTTGATGTGTAATCATATAATGTGGGTATTTGAGGCAGAGTGGACAAACAGCAATTACAATTGAATTTCTCCTTCTTCTACAATGGAAGAAGAGACTGTGAAGGCAGGGCATGGGAAAGGAGAAAAAGGCCACAGCTACACAGAGCATTCCCAAGAAATTTTCAATCACCCAGAAGCAGTACGAATTCAAGAAGCCTCTTCAAGAAAGATAGTCCTATTCCATTCAATACCACTCCCAAATAGTGGGTGTTGGGTCATCTGCATCTTTTCTAAGGCTGTCCTTTTATCTCCTCCAATTAGAAGTTTAATTCCCTGACATTAAGGATTAATTTTTTTTTTTTGGTAAAGCAACTACCTTGGACAGTGCCTGGAAGATGGTAGGCACTTAATAAATGCTTGCTGATGGATCTTCTACTCTCAACTTTTATAGGAAGGACAGTAGAAAGGGTTTGGCTTAGAGGTCCTAGGTGCAAATCCTACTTTTGCCACTTACTATTTGTGCAGACATGAACAAATTGCTTCCCCTTTCTGGGCCTCAGTTTCCTCAACTGCAAAATGAAGGTGATGGACTAAATGACCACAAAGATCTCTTTCATCTATGAATCTGTGGTTATATTAATCTCTGTGGTGGTGATGAAAAACAACAACAACAACAACAGCAAACAGACATTGGAGCTCAGCAGGGTTTTGAATTCCTGGTGGAAGTGAAGAAGGAAGGTCCTTGGAGTGTAACAAGGTAAAATTCAGGGTACAAGCAGCTTCCACAAAGGAGATGAGGAGGTGTGGGAACAGGAAATCTGGAGAGCAGAAGAACCTAAAAGTTCCTCTGACTGCAGGGATCAAAAAGTTATAGGGGAAATATTTTATTTATGCTTTATTACTATTTTTGGAACCTAGCTTTATATGGTTAGAAATTGTCTAACCCAAAAGCTTACTATAGAAGTCAGGATGACCTCACAGATGTTTCAGGGAAGCTGAATGCCTGTAAAGAATGCTTAGATCCCACCCAGTGCTTGTTTTGGGTCTTCTCAGGTCTTGTCTTAAGTCCACTCAAAGCTTGTGTTTGGCTTTCCCAAATTTTGATTGTTGATATACATCTCCAATTGCCCTTCTCCAAAGAGCTCCTACTACCTATATTCAGCCAATCAGACAACCGTCTTTATGCCCTTGTCTGAACTCTATATGATGTAACCTCTCAATGACTTAGGAGGGAGCTTTCTTGCCTCACTATCCTCTCTCCTTGCCAAAGGACCTGATAAATTTCTTTCTGAAATTATTTTTGATTTGGGGTTAGTTCTCAGGACTAACAAAATTCTCAGTGAGTAAAGAGAACTCTGCATTCATTCTACATCCTATCATACACACTCTTCCTAATGTAATAAGGGATTGTATGTGAGCAGAGTGCTACTCCCCATGAGAAAGAGGCTATGGACCCTGATTCTGGAAGGTGTGATGGAATGGAATGAAAGTGCCTCAAAGACACTTTGGAACATGTGGAGACATTCTACAACTGGTTCCAACCTACTAAGAAATGTTCAGTCCTCCCTTTGGCTGCAGTTCTGTAACTGGAACTAGGGGCGCCTTCAAAAAGCTGTAGTCAGCTTTATCATCTGGCTGTCTTTGTGTGGTCCAGTGGTCACTGCTATTCAATGAGAGACAATGCTTTGGCCCTCTCCCTCCAAAGTTTGACATGTGCTCCTATAAAAATAGGATTCAGTTCTTTGCTTCAGGTTTTGTTCTTTTGTTTTAGGTGAAGATTATTTGGGAGGCTCTAATCTTGTGTGCTTCCAAAGGTCAGGAAAGAAGGTAACAAGCATTTATTAAGCAGCAAAGTGCCAGTTATTGTGCTGAGCCGTTTACAAATATTATCTCATTTACCTCACAGCAACCCTGAGAAATAGGTGCTATTATTATCTCCATTCTACAGTTAAGGAAACTGAGGCAGACAGAGGTTGTGACTTACCCAAGGCCATGCAGCTTCTAAGTGTCTTAGGTCAGATTTGAACTCAGATCTTTCTGACTCCAGGTACATTAATATGTGAGATCAGAGGTGGGAAAGTTTAATATTTGATTCAATCATCTGATCAAATTTTGTTATCAAGCTGGTAATAGTATGCCACCTAGCTGCTAGGTCAGGTGAATGAGCCTACAGACACCCAAGAGTCTAGGCATCTGAGGAGTCAGGAATTTGAGTCCATACTTGTTTTTTGCAGCTAGCCCAGCATCAATGCTATTTAGGATCGAGGAATGATCTCTCCAACCCCACACAGCAGCAGCTCAGAGGATTCACCTCTGTCATGCTTCATCTAAATGTGAACTTGATGGGACCAATCAATGTTGTATAGAAGTTGTGCTAACTCTGAGACCCATCTCCCCATAGACAGAGGTGGTACAGGGCGGAGTGTGCCCTCATGGTGTTGGGAAGAAATGTTTTTACTTTTGTTCTCTTTATCTTCAAAACAAGTGTTTCTTTGTAAAAGAACTGATGTTCAATGAAATGGAAATGGGGCACTAGGCACTATTGACTAACAGTGGGAGGAACAAAATTGAGGAGGCTCAAGCTGATGGCATTAGAGAAAGATACCCCAGCTCCTCACGGGGAACCCCTAGAACCCTGATGTGTAGCAGCCTGACTCTGGGATAGTGAGCCCAAGCCATTTTTCTACACTAAAAAAAAAAAAGCAAAAACAAAAATCTCATCCCCTAGATGTGCTTTGACATTAGCTGTTTTTAAAAGAATTTGCTGATGTGTGTTTCTGAACACATGGTTTCCATACCTAGGCTGAATTGTTTAGCCACATTCCTTTCCCAAAGCTGTTATATTATGCAGATTATGCAAAACTATGGTCAGAAAATAACTTTGATAGGTTCATCAAGGAACTCAAGTAAAATTATGCAAAACTGTCCAGGAATAAGATATTAAAAAATCAAATGGGTTTGTTTATGCAAATTGTGAATATTTGTGCAGATAATTGTAGGTGATTATGCAAAAAAAATTTAAGTCGCTCTAAAATCTCAAGACCTATGCTATGAGATATTGTATCAAATGAAGTTGATTGAGGGGGCAGCTAGATGGCACAGTGGGTAGCGCACTGGCCCTGGATTCAGGAGGACCTGAGTTCAAATCCAGCCTCAGACACATAACGCTTACTAGCTGTGTGACCCTGGGCAAGTCACAACCCCACTGCCTAACCAAAAAAATAAAAGAAAGTTGATTGAAATATTTTCTAAATTGGATTATATTGAAGTTTGCCTTTATCCCCAGAACCTGACACAGTGCATGGTACCTAATCATTGCTCCCTGAGCCCCAATGTGCTATAGTGCTTAATAAATACAATGGATTGAATTATATGGAGACTTTTCAAGATATAACTAAAGGAGAAGGTGCAGAAGAAGCCTGTATCACACGTGAAATATACTATGAGCATAAGAACTTTCTTTTGGTTAAAAGGATACATTTCTCTGAAAAA